CTATGGGTCAGTTTAAGAACCTAGTTTTATGGGGCCAGGAATATAGCTCAGCAGCAAAGTATATGCCTGACAAGTGTGAGGTCCTGAGATTGATTCACAGTGCCCCTTTCCTTAAAAAATAAAATAAAATTAAAAAGCCTAGTTTTTTATAGATTTTGTTTTATTTTTGTTTTGTTTTGTTTTGTTTTGTGCAGGGTCTCACGATGCAGTTTGAACTTACAGTGATCCTCCTGTTTTCAGCCTCCCCAGTGCTGGGATTACAGACACATGACACCACATCCAGACTTGGTCAGCGGCTCACTATGCCTGGATGTGGGACTTGCAGCGCATCTGGCACCAGAGATCGAACTCTGGCCCCTGTACTTGCCTAAGCAGGCACTTAGTCCACTGAACTATCTCGGCAGCCCTTGTAGTGTCTTTATAAATGTTTTATTTAAGGGTGAATTAAAAGCATCTCAACAAAATATATTAGAATGCATGTTGGCAGGGGAAAGATTTAGCCACCCATAAGGTAAGGCAAATAATGAGAATCTGAACAGTAGGGTGGTTGAGTGAATAGTAAGGACAGTGGCAGAACGCAAAGCACGTTGCTTATCTAGTGAAGATAGCCTATGGAGAGAGAGGTTCAGCCGCTTTTGGCCTCATGTGACTCTGGGTTCTGTATGACCCTGTCTCACTCTTTTTGGAAAGCTAAGCATCTGGAGTTTTATACAAACTTCCCATCCTTGCTCATGTTGGGATGAAGTAAAAATTGATACAGAGACAAAGAGGTATCTTTTCCCCACTTTGTCTAGAGGGCTGCCAGTTTATGACATCAGAAAATAAGAGAAGTTGGAAGAAATTCATTATGCAACTTTACATTGCTTTTACTCTGTCAATATCTTTACTACAGGGGCCAGGGAAATGGCTCAGTAGAATAAGCGCTTCCCTGGCAAGCACAAGGCCCTGAGTTCAATCCCTGGTTCTGGAAAATAAATCTTTACTACAATTACTTTTTAAGCATAAGAATTAGTTTAAAGTCAACTTTCTTCCTACAGTGGCAGTAGGTAGCAAGCGAATGATCAGAAGCTTCTAGAATATTTTAATCTTTCTACTATGTAGGTAAAACACACTTTTTTTGTGCTAGGCAGTTGCAAGTTGGTAAGAATAAAAGTATGAAGACAAAGACTTTATCTCAAGAGCTTAGAGGGCAGTTTAGAAAGAGCTATGCCAAAAGTTTATAATACAACGTGTTAAATAAAGCCTATCACAGAGATATGTAAAAAGTTCAACAGGAGTAGGAGGAAGGAAAACACAAATCTTCCCAGGAGACTGAAAGGGGTTGTCAGAAGAGAGATGTGGTTTAAGTGGAGCTTCATATAAAGAGGCCCCAATTATTAATCATCAAATTGGATATGCTTAACTGGATGAGCAAATGAGATGGATGGAGGTGCAGATTAGGTGGGTTTTTATACTAAAAGAAAGTGAGTCATTAAAAAATTCCGAACAGGGCAGGGCACTAGTGGAGTCAGGTTTTTTCTAACTTTCACTGCTATGTTATGAAATATTGTCCAGAGGTGGAGACAGGGTCAAAAATGAAGGCTCAGAGTGATGATTTCATGAATTGAAGACAAAGCAGAAAGGCAACAGCAGAGGTCCTGAGCCAAGATCGTTTGGTCAGAAAGAAATTGAGGATGGAAAGAAAGAGCCTAGTGACTGGCCACATGCTTGTGCACAGGGTTACAAAAAGAAGTGAGAACGATTCAGCACTTTCAGTGAGAGCAAGTCTAGTTGAAAAGAGCATAATTTCTGAGGCCAACTCACTGCCTGAGTTCAAATCTTATCTCTTCCATTTATTTGCTGTGTGACCTTAGATGATAATTTATCTTGTCTGAACTTTCATTTTGTGCATGTCAAGCACTTTCATACAAGTGTTTATACTTGTTGCTAAATGTGACTATTGTTGTGATTATTATAATTCTAAGTAGGGTGGCACAGTCATTTGGTTTGCTTCAGAACACTAGAGGTTGCAGTGAAACACTTTCAGAACATTCTAGGTTTGTATGAGTATACACATTGACCTCGGCTGAGAAGAGTTTAATGGGCAGAGTCTTTTATGAAGAGGAAATTGCCTAGGATGCTTTTAGAGAAGAAGGCCAGGGCTTCAGTCCTCAGAAGGTGGGGATTTTTGGAAAGAACAAAGAGCAAAATCTACAAAGGATCCTAAAAGAAGGCCAGACAGATAACAGAGAAAAACCAGAGTTATGCTTGAAAACCAAGAGGAGAAAGGGGCCTAGAGAGAGGACAGTCAACCCAAAAGAGACTTTAGAGGAGCTAAGTAGACCCATAAATAAAACACTTATACTTCACAATTAGGAATTTATTTTTTTTATTTTTATTTATTTATTTTTCTTTGTGGAACCAGGGATTGAACTCAGGGCTTTGCACTTGCCAGGCAAGCATTTATTCTACTGAGCCATCTCCCAGCCCAGGAAATCTTAAATAGAGTAATTTTAAGCAATGACTTGGTATTTGATATATAAAGAACACTCAAATGCCAGTTTCCACTATGTTTAATTTTAAGTCCATTTCTAGAAATGAAAGAATTGTGAAGTATACCAGGTTGAATTATATAAACTTTTCATATTTTTAGGTCAAAAAATGTTAACTGCAGTAATTTTGAATATTCTGTACTAGGGGATTAAACAGCTGCTTTGAATATCAGTAAAGATAAAAAAGATTTTTGTTTCCATTATGATCCAATAGAAAAATAAAACTACCCCTTCTTCTCATTTGCCAAACAAAATGGAGCAGACAATAATCACCAATATCAGTTCACCCAAATGGGAGATTTGGTCTTCTTTAATCTGTATCCACTGCAATTATTTTTCTTGTCACTTTGCCTTTGAGTCTGAAAACTACAGAGCTGAAACCTGAATCAAAAGTAATTGGAAGGAAAGGATAGTCCTACCTTTCCAAAGAAATGTCTCCTATTACTAATAACATTAGTATTCTGAAAAGTCTAGTTATTTTGGCAGTGTAGAATACACATTGAAAATGTGAAGAGTGTTGGCTTTGGAATCCAGTTCCCACTCCCCACTTATCAGGTATGAAATCCAGGGAAAATTTCTTGAGCTGCTCAGTCTACATTTCCTTATATGGACAGAAGAGTGCTGTCTCTCAGGACTTTTTAAGGATAAGGAGGAAAAAATGTATATAAGGGCTTGGTCCCGTGATCTTTATAATAAATGGCAGTTTTGTGAGATTTCAATTTTTAAGTCCCCATAGTGGGTGAGCATGAGAAAATATGGTGCAATTGTTCTAAAGGGCTAGGTGCTTCCAAAGCGTTATTGTTTCACACAACAGCAAAAGTTCTTGAAGTTCTTCCTAGCAGTAGACTTACCTATTCTCTGGTAGCCTTCCAAGAGGAGCAGCAGCCAGGCCTGGAACTTCCTGTGCGTGGAGCTGAGGAAGCTTTGTGCTTCTCACCAGCTGAAAACTGACCAATGCACTTCTCATAACCAATGAAATATATAACTCACAAAACAAAACTCCACAAAAATCTATACCCAAATAAAAGCTCTACAACTGACCACTAAAAAGTTACGCATAAACCATACTGATAAGGCTATTCAACAAAAAACTTTATTATATTCCCAAATATTCTTACTAACCTGATTTTTTTTCAGAGTAAAAGCAAATCATTCTGAAAAGCATACTTTCATTTCATATTAAATTTATGCAAAATAAATGTATAACACATGCTGAAACCATTGTGGGAAAAAAAAAAAACCCTTTGAAGTGCATCACCTAAGCTTTCAATTGCATGGTGAATTTCTTATTGAATTTAGAATTTTAAAAAAGCAAAGCTGAAATGCCCTAACCTGTTATTTACTTTGCGTTTTCTAAAAGATTACTATGCTTTGCTATTGGCAAAACACTCATTAAAAATGTAACACAAGACTATGCAATGAAATAGAATCCCATAAAATATGATAGCATTATAGATCTTAAAGCCTCCAGTGCAGATGTTCCTAATCATACTAAAAACAAAAATACACACTCCAGTTTGCTCCAGCTACATAATAATTTAATTAAAAGAGTGCTTATACTTTAACAGTATAAATAATAAAGTCAAGCATGCAGTGAAATTACAAGGAAACATAAACCTATAAGATGGTATGCCAAGAAAACTGTACCAAATTCTCAAGGCTGAGAAATGTGTCTTTCCTTGCTACAGGTAGAAAATAATTACCTGTGTTAGCCAAAAACTATTATGAATGTACCTTTAGGGAAAATACACATTAACTAGTCAACACACCCTAGCTAACTAGCTCACACCAAGAGAAAAACATCCATCTAAACCAAGAATATTATTTAGAATTGGTTGGGGAATGTTAAAATCAGACTTCTCACTAGTTTATTTTTTATTGAGATATGGATCTGGAGGTAACAGGGTACAAAGGCAAATCTGTACGCACAGTAAAACATGAGCTCTGAAGACATCCAGTATTCTCTTTGCAAATAATGAGCTTGGCAAAGAGCCTCCTTTATGTACAGAAAGCTTTGTTCCTTGCTTACAGCAACTCTCAGTGCTCCAACAGGTAATTGCGTGCTGCTAATTAAGTTCGAAAACAATTATATTCAAACCAGGAAATATTTTATAGCTTGATTCAGTGAAGGTAAGAAATTATGCTGCTAAGATCAAGTTATAAAAGCCTACTTTCCTCCATTTACTAATTCTTTACTCTGAAACAATATGAACTTTCACATTGAAAATCTGTAGTGCCATTGAAAAATCGGGTTCAATGCTTCACTGCAAGCAAAAATAAACGTAAAAGGACATTAGGCAATCTCTTAAACATGGAGATCTTAGTATGTATTTTTTCCAAGTTAATATCCATTTGATTAAATATTCAGTTCATGAAATAAACTGTCAATCCTAGATTGTTAGTACTTTGCCAAGAAGCAAAGTGACATCCATTCTGCAGTAACCTAGAAAAGCAAATACAGCACATTACCTTGTGTCACCTGTTGAACTGCCAACATGATCCCAGACACAGTGTCTGGAAGCAGGTTTTCTTTCAGATTGTAGCAGGGTGCCCATTCCAGAATAGGTAGCCGCCTCCTGCACCACTGTTTGATGTCTTCACAATGCACCGTGTGCATCTTGCTCCAAAGCATGCTTTTCTTTTTCCTCTTTGCCCCTGTCATTTTTCAGATTTCCTCTTGTAGAAGTCAACTTCTTTAGACAAGGAAAAAAACAATCATTGCAGAACACTTCTTTTCAATGCCAGGCTCCAATTCGTCTGTGGTTTACAATGTCAAAGCTATCCAGAAAATAAATGAGAGAGAGAGAGAGA